AGCTACGTGATGCAAAGTTTTTTTTCGTTTTCAGTCCTGTGGCTGTTTGTCCGTAACATTTAAATCCTTTTTCAACTCTGTAATTGTGCAATGTGCATTCTCTCGCTGACACTGCCGTCACTGGCATACCGAGCTGCACCAGCGGACTCCTTCCGTGGTTTGTCTGCGGGTGACGGGGGTCAAGTGAGCTAAAACTTCCATCGCGTATGCATAAGGTCACGGAATGGACTCTCGCCCACTGCGCCTCAGTCTTGTCAGTGTTGGATGTCGACTGCCCTTCCTGCCGGCCGCCGGACGGGCCTGTTGGCGGCGGCTTCTGGCTGCTGACACTTGAGAGACGTGTCGGCTGACTCGTTTCCGCCGGGGCTCAAAACTGTGCTCTGGACACTGAGACAGACTGGCTCCGTGGGTGATTTACAGAGTCCCTCTCTGGGTGCGCTATACTGCAGCGTCTCACAGTTAGAGAAATGGAATGATCACTAGGTTCAGAGGGTTCATCCGCAAGAAGGTCTATACTTTACAAAGGTATGCTGCATTCAATAACCCTTTACCGTCGGGTCGGGATGGCCTTTGACCATTGACCGCCCCAATCACTGGCTTAGTGGAAATCCTTGAACACTGTCCCGCTCCGATCCAGCCGCCTTCTCCCTCACCGTCCTTCACTGCCATCACCCTGAGCCCAATCACGGTCAGCTAGTCTCCCGTCCGTCCCCTCCCCCCTCCCCCGCTGACAGTCGCTGAGCGGCGGCCGTTATCCGGTCATTAGGCGGTAATCAGCTGTTTGTCAAGCATTAACGGGACGTTGAATCGTGATTAGCGGGCCGACGTGACACGACGCGACACCGAGCCAGTGGGGTCCAGGGAAGGGGGAGGGGGAGGGGGGGGGCGATAACGAGAAGGGTGGAGAAGAACAAACAGAACCGCGGCGGCCCCGCCGTGGTCGGCCGATAACACGCGCAGTGTGAGCCGAGCCGCGGTGTACAAGGGGTGCGCGGAGTGTTTCTCGCGCGGCGCGCGCGACGAATGCGATATAAGTGCTCGGTTTGGTGTACGGAATAACAGGACAACATCAACGGAGCGACAGGAGACGGACGCATGATGGCAGGTGGGCGCAGCGATAGGCTGCGGGGGGGGGGGGGGAAGGATCTAGGTAGAACGGCCACGAGGAGACGGGATAGGGGGGGGGGGACCGTTCGACGGGCGCTATAGTAGTGGGCGTGACGGAGAGGGGCGGGTACCTAGCTGACCACGACACCGTGCGCCTAGAGAGGCCAGCATCTGTGGTCCCCGTCGTGTCATGGCCACGGCCGACGGGTGTGACCTGATCCGTATATGCCGTGTGCACAGGAACCCCCGACATGGATAAGGGAACGTGCGGCCGAGCGGGCGGACGCGCGGAAAGACGACCTCGAGTGACTCATAACGCACACCGCGGCGCCGGCGCGACGGGCCGGTCAGGCAAGTGCAAACAGCAGATAGCCCGGCACGGCAGGCTGTGGTACTGCGATCCTAGGCGTGACTTCGGGGGCGTATTCATAATTAGACTCGTGCATGATCCTACGCCGTCGACAGTGCAGAAGGGTGGAAGCCAAGCGACAGGCTGTGGACAATGGTCGATGCCAGAGAAACTGTCGTTGGGCGGTTCCGGCACGGGGCTGACATTGGATACCGCGGTGCGGCGCGGGGCCGTTTCGCGAAAAACAATCAGTCCGCCGAACGGCGCCGTGCTGGGGTGACGGCAGCCATTCGGCGAGAGGTCGCGGACGGTACGACACGGGGACCGTTCCATGCTCTGCACCGCTGCCGAACATGATAGTGAACCCGTTGAGTGCGCGCGATAAACCTAATGGCGAAGTGCGGCTCATTTTAGATCTATCACAGTCGAGAGATGTCGGGGTCAACGCCGGGTTAGACCCAGACGAGTTTCGTGTGACGTACACATCATTCGACGAGGCCGTGCGGTCGATTCTCCTAGCTGGAGGCGCCGGGACCTTGCTGTTCAAGACCGATGTTAAAAATGCATTCAAACTTATACCTGTCCGGCCCGGCCAGTGGGCGCTACTGGGGTTCTGTTGGGACGGTTTACTATACTACCAGGTTTGTCTGCCATTGAGGCTAGAAGCAGTCCATGGGTTTTCAATGATTTTGCCACATGCTTGCGCCTATGTGTTCCAGGATCAGACATCGGACGTGTATATACGCAATTATTTAGATGACTTCTTCGGGGTAGGGCGCGGAGTATCGGACAGTGCCGACGTAGCGTATGTGAGACTGCGAGACATTTGTGCGGAAGTGGGCGTGCCGCTGGCCGAGCGGAAACGCGCCCCGCCATCAACACGGATGGAGCTTCTCGGGTTGTGATAGACACAGAAACACCCTAGACACCCTAGCGTTGCCAGACGCCAAGCTAGTGGGCACCCAGGAGTTACTAAAGACACTGCTCGGGCGACAGAAATGCACACAGCGGGAACTGCTGTCGGTGGTGGGACGCCTCGTGCACGCCAGCAAGTACGTCCCGCCGGGGAGGGCGTTCACTAGACGCCTGCTAGATGCGGCGCACTCTGTTAGCGGACCGAACCGCCGGGTGCGGATCACGGCCGATGTACGGGCGGTTTTACGGTGGTGGGCCACTTTTTGCCGATGTGGTACGGCATTCCCCCCCCCCCCCCCCGCCACCGGGCGAGTACGACCACTGTATTGTGATGAACACGGACAGCTCACGTCGGGGGATGGGGGCGTGGCACGGAGACGAATGGTGGATGATGGAGTGGCCCCGCGAGCGGCAGTGTGACGCCGCGCCATCCATGACGTGGCTGGAGCTCATCCCCGTCATGGTGGCATGTTTGGTGTGGGGAGAGAGATGGGGCGGGCACCGCGTGCTGATCCGGTCCGATAACATGGGGGTGGTGGGGGTCTGGGGGAGGGGATGGTCGGGGTCGCCACTGATTATAGCGCTGCTGCGTCAGCCCCTGTTCTGGACGGCGTTCCATGAGTTCGCTGTATCCGTCGAGTACGTGGCAACGAAAGAGAACGGCGCGGCCGACGCGCTCAGTCGGCACGACTTGGCGCGGTTTCCGGCGGCTGCGGCCACAGGCGGCCCAGTGTCCGGTCCGGCCCCCATCGTGTGTGGCGGAGTACCTACAGGACCCGAGCCGTGGAACCCACGTGCTGACAGGTACCGCCTGTGAACCCTGTGAACGGGACACGCGCGCATAATCTAGTATGAATACACATACCCTTGGTTCCTTTGGGGTGTTTGGCGGTGGCTCGCACAGAGCTGGAGGCGAAGATAAACCCGGGTGTTGACGGCCTTTCACAGCCAAACAGGGAGAGGAGTTGATCGGAGGACACGCTAATCAAGCATTAACGGGACGTTGAATCGTGATTAGCGGGCCGACGTGACACGACGCGACACCGAGCCAGTGGGGTCCAGGGAAGGGGGAGGGGGAGGGGGGGGGGGGCGATAACGAGAAGGGTGGAGAAGAACAAACAGAACCGCGGCGGCCCCGCCGTGGTCGGCCGATAACACGCGCAGTGTGAGCCGAGCCGCGGTGTACAAGGGGTGCGCGGAGTGTTTGCCCACCCACCATCCCCATCATCACCGTCCTGTCCTTTGTTCCCAAACGACCCTCGTCGTCCACCCGGGTTTGACGAAGCGGTGGCTCGCACAGAGCTGGAGGCGAAGATAAACCCGGGTGTTGACGGCCTTTCACAGCCAAACAGGGAGAGGAGTTGATCGGAGGACACGCTAATCAACGTTAGTGGCCGACGATCGGTGGCCGGGGAGACGACGGACGCGCGCGATGACCCTGACCTGCTTACCGCACTGGTGAAACGGCCGTGAGGAGAGCTCTGCCCACATGACCCGGTTGGCAGATTGCCGCCGTATGCGTCTGGCACGCGTCAGTGGCACTTCCGGTCACCGTCTGCACTGTAATTTGGAGAGCTGTGATGGTTCTGACCTAATCTTTGCCCCCAGACACTGAATACTCTACCCAAAGTGTGTCTCACTCACTAACATCTCACTAACATAAGCAGCGCTGTGTTTCAGTCGGCGCAACTTGTTTTGAGATTTTCCGTGCAGTTTTACATGTTTGTTTTCCAGCTTCGTTGGGCGGATCTTCTGGATGTTTTGCAGCTCGTCTGAGTTGTCGCAGATTCAATAGAGCCGTTTTTATGTGTCAGTTGCGCTGTCGGATGGGAATATGTGAGATGGGCCGTTTGACTCATATTTGACTTGTGCGCCAAAGATGTTCGCTAGTATTCGGTTAAAATTGGTCACCTGCCGTCTCATGGAAGAAATTGCACGCATGATTTGTTCAGCTTCCAAATCGTTTGCTTTTTTGCATCATTCTTTTTTGGCACAAATCCTATCTGCGTGAAGTTTGAGCGTATCATTGGATGATAAAGTTAGGGCTGCGCTCCGTTCTGGTAGCCCGCCCGGAGTCGGACAGGCCGGCCGAGGTAATTGCATCAGCACCCGATTGGGTTACGCCGGGATACAACAAACAACCGAGGGCGGCTCGGGGCGGGATAACGGGCCATTACAGACGTTTTCCATCACGTCATTGAAGTTCGCGCGGCTGACAGCGGCATTTTCGCTGCGACACCAGCAGCTTTGATCAGTGCACATGTTCACATATTTCGAATGGCCCTAGTGTTGCCAGCGAAGTGGCCCACACAGCTCCTTTTGTTCTTTTTGCTCAATTATTCAGCGTTCACTTTTCAATCCTCCGGCTCGTGAATTAGGTTACCGATAAATAGTTCAGCTGACTGGTCCTTCAATCACTCACTAGGTCGTGCCACTCATTCTATGTATATTCATTGCTTTTACTCAATTAGGATTGCTTTGTCTTAAGTCGTGCGAGCCAGCTTCCCTTCAAAACAACTTTTCATACTGTTTGGGCGTCGGCTGGTTATTTTACGCGGTGCGGAAACTACCAATCACAACGCCGGAGTATTAATTGAGAGGAGTCTGTTAAAATGAACATTTGTTTCAGAAACCTCTAATGCATCGAGGAGAGAGGCGATTCGACAAGGGCGCGCGACACTGCGAGATCCACATGCAAGTGGGGAAAAAGCAGGGCTGCTGCCAAAGCTGGCTCTCAAAGTAAGTGGTTCACGGAAAAGCAATTGATGATGCTGCATGCCGAGTCCCGATGCATGTAAGGTGCACGCGTAATGCACATTGCACAGTGCACATATGGTTTAAGGTGGCAGTGTGCCCGTAATCTGTTATGTGGTGCATGTTGTTCGATGGTTTTCTTCTACTCACAAGTTTAACGACAGATGATTTTGCAAGCAGCCACGATATCTCAGTTTGTTCGGATTTCAACTTATCAAGAGCTCCTGTGCGCGCGGTGACCCTTTGACATGTTTGAGGCCCGGTATAGGCGGCAATACATCTAAAATGAACTTCCTAAACTAGTTTGTAGAAGAGCACTCAGGTAAGCTGGCGTTCTGGACGTGCTCGCGGCGGCAGGGTATTCACCGGCCGTCTCAGTTTGACTGGACTCCTTTCAGGCCTCCTGAGAACTTCCCAAAACTGTCAAACACAGCTCTGATCGGGCCTGAACGTGGTCGAACGGCCCCAGCCACCTCATTATTTGTACCAAATGCGCGACTTTTGTGTGCATAAACGTGTTCAAGTTAAGTGTTATTCCTTGCGGGAAATGAGCCCCTATTCACATCGTATGGGTCAAACAACTTTGTCAATTGCTGGGACAGTTTTATTTGCCACGTGATAGCTGGAATACTTTGCTCTCCCTCCCGCTTTGTTTTATCCAGCTGCAGAAATTCGCCAAGTTTTTTTTTCGGCGTGGGATGGTTTAAGCTTGCAGACTGTATATATGCGGCAGGCTCTGGAGGGTAGGCTGTACCGCAACACTTGGGTGCTTTGCGGCACAGTCTATCCACCACAAATTCGACGCCGCGCGTTCTTGAATTTCATACCAACTGGCTCTTTATATTTGGAACATTTGTGATGCAACTGATGCAAATCCCTTATTGGCTTTTTCCATCAGTGTTCCAGATATTCTTAAACCCTCCGGTAGCGGAACTGCTCAAACGATATCAATTGGATGAAGAAAGCACAAATGCCATCTTGGCTCACGCATATCTCTCTTTTCCAGTCCCGTCCATACTTGATCCTGAGGCTGTCAAATGAGAAGAAAGAGACAAATGTGCCTAGCGCAGATGAGCTCGTTTTTTATCCGTGAATGTAAACACCATGGATCGGAATACTACCTCTACCTCTGGGCTCTGCCTGGTCTGTCTCTTCGGTCTTTGGGCTACGTCTTCGATATGTAGGTAACCATTAAGAATAATAATAATAAGGAAATTTGACTGAGTTTAATATTCGAAACAATCGAGGTAGTTTATGTGATACGTGCGTATTTTATGGATCTCCGCGATGCAATACACTGTATTGATACAGAGTAATCGGATTTAATGTTGCATAGATTCTTGCATATTGTAAAATGAAGCACATACGAACGGTTGTTATGTGAAATTTATTTCCTCCCCCATCAATTCACCATGGCATGGCATGGCATTCCTGAACTTCACGTGTCCCAGGTACTTGGTAAAAGTAACTGTCCTAGAACGTCCAGTGCATTGCGCGGTGGAGGGCGGACAGCGGAGAGCGATGACCGGTGGACGGCGACCGCGCGGTGGGCAGTGAACGGTGGGCGGTGAGCAGAGAGCAGAGAACGGTGGGCGGCAGACGGTCGGTAGATGTTTGCCGGTGGGTTTGGGGCGGTGGGCAGAGGGTTTTTGGGCGATGGCCGATGGAGCCGGTTTTGGGCGGTGGGCGGCGGCCCGTCAATCTGTCGCTGCGGTGTCGGTCGGACGCGGCCGCCAGCTCCGGTCACCACACGCTCTGAGCGGGGTTTCAATGAGTCTCCGATCGGCCGTAACGTAGGCACACTGTATGCGATGGGCGTCCCAAAACTGACGCGAGAGCCGGCTATTCTTGGACGGCCGGCTTTGGCGGTAAAAAAGTGGGATTGATGCACCACGCCCGATGAATAGCTGAACGAATCTCGTGGGTGAATTTCGGGCATTGGATTCTTCTTTTGCAAGGCGTGTGTGTCTACTTTTGGACTGAGTTTGTCGTGGCGCATTGTGTTTTCTTATTCACGTGGTGATTTGGTTTGAACTGCGCGAATACTGTCAAATTGTGAAGAATTTAGCTACCCACCATATCCGGTTACTCGGATCTGGTATGTATGTAGTATGTACTCTCTACTCCGATACTCTTCTCTTCTGTCTCTTGCCATATTTAATGTTTTTTTTTTTTTTGCTTACATGGGTTTCGTTTTTCGGTTTCCCAATTACCTGAAATCGGCACCAATATATGGTCGATGACACGTTGTGTGCGCACGCGGCGCTGCGACACCCCCGCTCCTCCCCGCTACCCTCGCTGTCCCCGCTGTCCGTGGGGGTTCCGTCTGGACACCAGCGGGTGTGGACCGCCCCCGCACTGCCGCCGTCGACCCTATCACCGGTCACCGTATGTCTATCAGTAGCCAGAGCCGGTATCACCGCCCAACCCCGGGGGAACACGCTGACCGCGGCTGTCGACCGGACGGGTCGGAGCGGCCGGTCGAGACAGATCAATAATGAGGTGGGCCGGTAGCGGAGGTGTTTTTCTCGCGCGCCGTGGTCGCCGCCGAGTTGTTACGTCCCGATAACGATACGATGACGTGCCCCGTCAGAGATGACGGCGACCTCCTATGCGAGTTTGTGGGGTCGTATCTCGGGAGTAACATTTTTTCGGTGTGTGTTTTTTTTTTTAATCAGTTATCGCAGAAAACAGCATGATATTTAGTTTTTTTTTTTGCAAACCGATAGGAGCATTGCGTGTTATGTAGAGAGTCCTTTGATTAAATGTTGGCATTGCGGCCCATCAATAATGAGCTTCGAAACGCTGCACCTGTCTTATTGATACACGAGACAATTTGGACATTTTAACCGTGCAGTGAAAATGCATGCCTATTGTAACAGTGATATATCTCACTCCACTGCAGTATGCATAAAAATAGCTGTCCCTGTTCCTAATCTGGACAAACGTCCTGCCATTGACACGCTATTCATCGCCGCGGGGGGGGGGGGTGGAGGTGCATCAATCGCAGTGGGGGGGAGGAGGGGGGGGGGGCGCCCCGAGTGCGTCTGCTCGCCGAGTGGCGCGCCGCTGATCGTCCTCGGCCGCCCGTATTTGTCACCGTTATCCCAGAGGCGGCGCCGCCTGAGCTCGCATTGATGGCTGACATGGAACCGCCCGCCCTAATGGAATGACGAGACTATTGGATTAATGGACTAATGCCTAATGGCAACGCGTGCCAAACAGATATCTCTCCGAAAACGCGCATCTGATGGTGACCTTGCACAGGAATAATAAGGTTTATGCTGTTGTGTTATGACAAATGTTGTTTGTTATATGATAGCTAATGCTGCTTGAAATATAGCTAACGCATGCCGCTGCTTGTATAACCGCCTGTATTGTTTTTATGCATTTTCCAGCTGCCGTATTATCGGAGCTGACTTATTGTTATTCCACGTGTTCGCAGCCTGGAAAGTAGGCATTAGCCTCAGGGTACCTACTACGTATGCGGGTACACCGGTACACCATATCAGTTGCCGTTTTTCGGGAGCAGAACTATTCGTGTGATCCGAATGATTGTTTGCTGCATGTGTTTATCAATGGATTGGCATGGTCATCGGTCACTCTCGCCTAGTCTATGCGAAGACCATAGTATGCAAGACGTTATGTGTGTAGTGCAGACTGCACATAGGCACTTGCACCTGGATTGCATGAACAAACGGTTAGTTTGTGATCGGTAGTATCTAAAGCGATTGTACTGTATTGGATATTTTCGTTGCAGTTTATTTAAAATGACATGTAAACGCGTTTTATGCTTGTATGCTGGTTCATCGTTGGAGTTGACCTTAAATGGGGCTTCCCGTCGATTATGACATAAATAAACTAAACTAACCATGTTATTTTCGTTTAGAATGCTACAGACACATGTCTAACCCGACGATTCTTGTTTCTCAGATTCCCGACGCGCTCAAAAAGGATAGACGTGATCGCTCGTATCACCTTTCCGCTAGTGTTTGCCTTCTTCAACCTGGTCTACTGGTCGACGTACATCTTCCAGGATGACGACGACAGGCCCAAGGCCAGCCCGTAGAGGGCTATAGGCTCTGCCTCTGGCCGAGGCCGGGCTGGACGGTGGTCGCCGAGGCGGATTCCTCCAGGGTCCAGCCGACATTCACATTCGCACACGCATAGACGGGCTAGTGTTTGAGTTGGGACCCGCTTTCTCTGTGTGAAGTGAATATTATTGATGGATCGGACACTCGGACAGGAGAGGGACAGATGGAGCGTGCCAGGTGTATGCTGGGGATAATGGGGAGGAACCTCTTGTGGGGTGAGCTCCTGCGAGAGTGGAGCTCTTCTCACGTTCGTGGCGTCTGCTCAGCTGAAAAAGTTGCGATCTGGGTCGGTGTCGAAATGTCTCTGATCGCACGCGATTTTCAGCCACTTTTACACCGGAGAGCGTGTTTTCGTTCTTGTGTGCACACCTCACACGCGGCGGGCATCACGCGTCGCCGTGAGCGGCACGTGCTACGTGCGCCCACGTGTGCGCCACGTGCAGGTTGTCGAGGATGCCTTCAGCGATGTGAGCGTGTGTGTTTGCATTCACTGTGCTTTGTGTCGAGTAGGTGGAGCATTTGTACAAGAGAGTGAGGATAAGCTATGTCGCGAAGAGAAAGAGAAAGAGAGACTGCATGCGAAGAGGCATGAGTGCGCTTGTCTTCTGCAGTGAGAAATGACATGGTCATCCGCCACCTTGTGATATCCATTGACTTGTTACTCATGTGTGTGGGCCAGTCCGCGGCCAAGGGGTTCTCTTGTGCTCGCGATCATTTTCACAGTGTGAGCTGCTGCACGAACTAGTACGGGCTGAAGTGAGAGTGGCGTAGACTAGTGGGCCGGATCGGGCTGCTCTTGGTATTCTAGGTAGAGGGAGGACGATTTGCGACGTCGCTGGCGCGGGCACTGGATGTGCCGCCAGACACTGTGTCGCGGGCATCTTGGCTTAA